ATTCGTAGCAACAGGCTATGCCATCATATCTTATTTTTATACTCTTGTAACATGTTACTATATAGTAGAATAGATTTGTTCACCTAACAGTTGTATCAGCTACTTAGATGTAGGTTATGTATACATATATAAATAATCAGGATGGCGAGACGAGTTAAGTTCCGAGTGACTGTCTGTCCGTTCGTTCGTCCTTCTGTGAATGCGATGATTTGAATAAAAATTAAGATATTTATTTGAGACTCGGTACACGTGTTCCTTGACAAAAAGAGAGGACGAGTTCGTAGATGGGCGTAATCGGACCACTGCCACGCTCACAAAAGGCTGTTAATCGAAAACCTATATAATGCCATAACTAAGAACTAAATTAAGATTTAAATATGTAATTTGGTACAGCAGATTGCAGTAGCAGGAGGCACTTAAAAAAATGAGCAAGAGAGAGTCCTTATGTGATAATAATATGCTTATGTGCCAAAAATTAGCTGAATCTGATCAATAATTCCTTCAGTCAGTTCATATACCTAATAGAAAAATTGTTATTACTTCCGACTGACCTTATACCGGTAATATCGGCCAGTATGGGAGTTATCTAAATGAAATTAAAAAAGGGTGTTTTTCTAATAACATGAATAAAATCGGGTGAAAACTTGCCTTTGCCCCCATATAACTAATATCAAAATATTCAAGCACTCGGACGACTTTAGTCGTTATTATTGGTGATGGTACATAAGGTAACTAAATGAAACTCAGAGAGCATGCTTTCCAGTTAGTAATATGTAGTATTATTTTGATTCAGATTTGTGATTATACACATGTGCTACATGTTATGGAATTTTGTTTTTGTTTATCAAATTGTAGAAAAATTGGGGAAGTTTTTGATATACGTTGTTATTATTAATTAACAATAAATAAACGTATAACAGTAACGGAAAATTCATCTGTATTAGGTATGGGGGATCTATGGGAAGTATTGACCTGATTCAACCCATTTTAGATACAGATACATACCATTTTCAGGAAAGGATTATTCCCGAATTTCAATTATATGTATATCTCGAATTCAACTAGAGTTGCTGGGGTCCACATATTCGGTACTTTTCGGGGCTTTAACAGTTTTGGATCGATTTAGAGAATTGTTGGTCATAACTTAAAGGTACAATCCGTACAGCTATCTTGATATATTAACTGATTCTTGATTTGTATACTGGAAAGTGAAAGTTTCAAATGGAATTTAAAATTGTGCTATATGGGAAGTAAGCTCTTTCTGCGTCGATGCAGCGCTGCCAGCCGGAATAGCCTTGAGACCCGAAGTGCTGCTTGGATTTGCTCTGTCTCAAAATGGTGAATTTGGATGTTGTAGCTTTAGTGTTTTAGGGGATATTTATTACATTAAACTTATTAGGAATGGAGCATGTTAACTTTTTCAAAATTTTTTGCCTACAGGTGCCCATTGCTATTGCCATCGCCTATGCTGCAAGAGCATAAAAATATGACAAAGCGAATTCGAGGCGATAGGGCATGCAACTTAATATGCAGTGTTAGTCATGTTTTCTAGAAATTGTCGGATAAAGGCGTAGTGTACAGTTTTATTAGGAGTTATTTTTCTTAATTCCTTCCATTCGCTGTTACTCTGTTAAATTTCCATATTAAATACTGTAAGTGCTGGAAAAAGGTACATGCAGGTATCGATCTCAGGTTGACATATATATGTGTGATAATATATAAAGCAGAGACCGTAAAAATGTGCAAGATGCGTTCCAATGTAAACAGTAATCTAGCGCCTCCTGGTGGTGCCTTCTATATAAGACATTTCGTCGATTGGAAGTGAAGCTATTGCGTTTTAAGTGTCAGTATGTTTGTATTATCGGTGCGAAAATGAGCTTCGAACAAAGAACCAACATTAAATTTTGTTTTAAATTTGGTTAAACTTTTATCGAGACGTTTCAATTGATAAAACAAGTTTATGGCGATGATTGTCTATCCCGTAGCAGAGTGCATGAATGGTGTGAATGTTTTTAAAGTGGTCGTGAGGACATAAATGACGATCAACATGTGATCCAATCAAAGTCCGTGATTACCAGAAACTCCGTCTAAACTGTGAGTGAATTTCTCAAAAATCAGCCGAACTCGTCATTGAAATTCATGGAAATGGAATTGAATATCTCCAAAACAATGAAGACAATGCTGATTTGTTTTTATGAATCCAAGAGTACTGTTCACAAAGAATTTCTTCCACTCGGCCAAAACGTTAATGCGGTATTCTACCTTGGAGTTTTGAAGCGTTTGGTGCGCTGTATTCGACGTATTTGGCCCGAATATCGCGAAGAAGAAAGTTGGCGTTTGTTGCACGATAATGCGCCGTCTCATTGATCGACGCTTGTGACCGATTATTTGACCAAAAATCACATTTTAAAAATTAACCACTCCCCGTATTCACGTGATATGGCACCCTGCGACTTCTTCCTTTTCGGAAAAATGCATTTGCCAATGAAAGGAAATCGTTATGTAGACGTAGAGGCCATTCAATAGGCTTGCACCGGCATACTGGCAGCCTTACCGGACAATGAGCTAAAACACTCGTTCGACATGTTTTTGGACCATGCAAAAAGCTGTATTGAAGCAGAAGGAGACTATTTTAAATAAAATAAATTGATTTTGCCGAAAAAACCATTTGTTTTGTTTTTTTAAGTCTTTTTTACTTTCTTAAAGCACCTTGTTTTATTTACGATAGAGCAAAACAAAAAAAAATAGATTCGTGCTTAGCTAACGTGCTTAACGACATTTCGTTGTAAAATGGAAAATATAAGTACATTTAAATATAATATTGCATGATCTGATTACTTTAAAATAAATTGATTAAATATTTATAGAAAAAACAATCAATGATAAAGTCAGAACAGCTGACTTATTGCATTAGCGCTCATTCAACACAAGTTGCTATTTTGCCACTTTGCCATAGTTACATAAATGCCTTATTAAATGAGTATTCTTATTATTATACAAGTGTAGAATTAATACAGAAGTATTTAAAAATTTTTTTTTTTTTTTTTTTGTATTTTTTGAACACCAACCATTGGATTTGAATTTTGGGTCAATTTAACAAATAACATATAGAAATGCAAATTGTTTGTATGTACTTAGTAAAAGACAATGTGTTAGCTAGTTGTGCTGGCTGTTCATCCAAGTTGAAAGTTTCTTCGCCGAATACACCAAAACCATAATATACATATTCTGTACATGACTTTATTTTCTTATGAATTTTATTACTATCGGAAACATATGTATAGATACAAATACGCTTTAATTATTAAATAAAAACCGTAGATAATTAAGGATTCAGATTGATTGCAAAGTCGTTTTCACAAAACAACCGCCTGTTCTTGCCTACATATGTATGTTCTTTAGGCTTGGAGCTTGGCAAATAGGTCTTTAAACTATAAACTCATTTACATATATTTTGGGATACAATAAGGGTATGATTTTCGGGGTGCTGTCATGAATATGTCCAGTTTCATTACCATATAAAATCTCTATTTGTCTTATAAAAAGACTTTTCATAAATAGCGATCCTGGTACCATGGAAGACTTTTTCAGCTACCCTATGAACGGGTCTTACATTTTATTAGGTATATCATAGCCTTAACATAAACTCAGTATAATGTATCGATAATAATGTAAGGTTTTATATTAAATGATAAGATTTGTAGCATGTATTGTATATACTATTATTCTAATAAACTAAACATAAACGGAAATAATTTAAATTACCACAATTTAAATTTAACATAATTTTTCGATATCATCGGTTTGAAGCTGTTTGGTCAACTTCGGCACATTTCTTTTTCCGCTGCTTTCTTCGTTTGATTTTATCTGCTGATTTAATGTTTCCTCCTGTACAATCAAAAATACAAGTCCTGCCATAATTTAACACTGCCAACAATGAATAAATTCGAGATATTATCCAGTTCAGTTCCGTTCAACGCAAAATAGTTGATTGGAAAGGCGGTTGCGGAAGATGAAAAGCCTATAGTATAAAATAAAGTCCGCAAAGTGCCTGTGAAATGACCAGCGTACGTGAAATTACTTCGCCTTGCCTTTCCTTCTTTGCAAACTCCTCTCGTTTGCCATGCCCTCTCCATGGCTCGGTTTGGCGTAAGCGCTCATCAATGAAAGTAGTCGCGCTGGTTATTACGACTGTCGTAAAAAGAAACACTTGAATAAAAAGCCTGCAAAAAAATAACAGTTAAAACGCTTAAAGTTGTGCGGAGAGCACCGAACGTCTGTTAACAACAACAGTTCATGTATAAAAGCATTCATACTAACTGGCGAAAAACGCCAACAAAAACAAGTCATACTCATCGGATCACAGTGCCAATGTTTCTTARCAGCTCCGGGCGAAATGGATGTAGCAGGTGCCACTTGCAACTGAACAGTACTCGCGACCAACCAGTTTTCGCAAATCTTTGGAGCGCAGTGCGAAAGGTTTAAGGTTTCATTGATAAAAAGCAAATATTTCTACACATCAAACAGATCTGCTTTGCTCTTGTAAAAATAGTTTCTCTGAGAAAACCTGTCTTCAACATTTTTCATTAAAAGAGTTTAGGAGTACATGTAGTGGTGAAAAGTCATTGGGCAATGTTAATTATCTTAACAAAACGAAGAAATGAAACTTTAAATAAAAAATATACACACATTTCTGAAAATTATAGCAAGGTTTGTTTCGTAAGGTGTACTTAATAACCGTTTTTCACAAACAAACAATATTACCATTAAACCGTTTCTATCACTATTAATACTTAGAAAATTTAATAAAAAATTTATAAATATATTGCACAGTATTTTTGCTAGCTTTAAATAAATAATATATTTGCAAAAAGTAGAAGTCATGTGGAAACTTGTTTGACAGCTGGGAGTACCAGGGCAACGTCAGCTGATACGAGTATCAAAAAAATTATTAAGATTAACAGTACAGCGCTTGTGACTGACTAGCAGAGACAAGTTGGAGTCGGCAATCAGTTCGAAAACGACTTTCATCCGTAACAGACATGTAAACGGCAATCATTCGATTACCTGMGACGAAATAAAATTTACCTTACAGTAAGTCAATAATAAGCTAAAGGAAAGTTCAATGCAGGCGCATTACAAAGAGTGGCAGTGAAAATTGCTAAAACCAAATTAATAACATATTTTAAAAATAAAGCGGACGGTGAAATAGATAAGTGTAGAAAGCTGAGTGATAGTGTACGCCGGTAGCTGCAGCATCTCCAAATGCTGAGTGAGCAATGGGCAAAGAGCCGAGCAAACAACCGAATAAACACTAATTAATGCTTTTGCGTTACAAAGAAACGTATAGAAAATAAAAGTAGAAAACTAAGATTCCACATATTGTGTATGTAGTGACAAATAGAAGCAAAGGTGAAATGTGCAGGTGAACAGTGAATTTTAGCCAACAATTGAGAAATGTTGCATTAAGAAAGATGATAATGTGTTCGAAAGTTCTTCATTTGACTTCCCAGTGCAACAACTGGTGCGTGACAACTGAATTAATCAAATAAGCGCTGCGTAATTGATTAGGCTAAAAGCTGTAAGAATTTCAATTACATAGTATACAAATGTAATCGCCGCACATTATTCAAGACCATAACACCACCTAAAAATATTTCATGTATATAAATATTAGGTCAACAAAAGAAAAATATATTGGGTGAACGCTTAGTAACTCAAATTGGAAAAGTGCAACCAAGTTTAAAAAAATATTTATTGTCGGTTCATATAAATCTGAAAGAAGTATAGAAGCGAAAGCAATATAAGCTTTAAATCCTTGAGGTGTTAACGAAATGAAAAAAATGAATGCTAGTAAGTTGGACACAGCAATAATGTTGACATCATTGACAGCTAATGCAACCAGTACAAAACTGGAACAGCACACCAAGCCCATGCTAAGTCCAACACGATCCCTTGACGAAGGTTTTGAAAGTGATCCGGATCGGGTGTCCACCGATTCGGAGCATCAAACAAGTGGAACGAATTGCAATAGTGGTAGTAGCCATAATAACAATAGTCAGAACAACAATAGAAATAGTGTTGCAGAAAAGCACAACAGTGGCTCGACACTAGCTCAACTATCGTCAGCGGCCACGGGGGGTCTAACAGCATCGACAGCATCAGTATCAGCGTCACCAATGACAACAATAGCAAGCTTGACTGCCACATCTAGCGTGTCCACAACGGTAGCTCAAAAGGCAAACATAAAAACAGATTTGCATAAACTGCGCTTGCTAACAATGGTCGTTCCGCCGTCTCAAATTGCACGCCGACAGCCGGCGATTAGTGCGACACCTGCTGCAACTCCTGCAAACTCCAACAACTGTCAATATGCTGGTTCTGACGCGAAGTCGACATCCGACACGTCAATGGATACGTTTCTAAAAGACCAGCAACAGCAGCGACGTAGCTCAGCAGAGTCAGCGCACAATATCAACTRTCCGATCGATGTGACAACATCATCATCTTCAAGTGCTTATGTCAATAACAACAATAACAAAAATCATTTACTTATGCAATATCGTACTGGATCCAACTTGGCTGCTCTCACCGCCAATGTGGCACGCGCCAGCGGTGCTTTAACCAAATCCACAAGCAATGGCAGTGGCTCGCCGTTGCCCTCACATCGTTTACAATATCAAAAGCAACGTCAACCAATCTTAGCCTCTGCCGCCGGTCATCAGACCGTACACAATCATCGTTACGCTGCCAGTAGTACCGGCAATGGAGGGGGCATAACTAGTGGATTTCGACGCGCACGCACACGGGCAATGTCTCCCGCAATGGTAAATAGTCTATCAAGCAACAGCCATGGCGTCAGCAACAATACAGTAGCCAGCATTGGTGGTATGCAAGTTCACACTTCACGCACTAAGCTTCTTTCACGCAACACCAATATGCGTTCACATTCAGTTGATGCCGTTTCACGCCACCGTAATGGATATGACCCGACCAATGCACTCATTCTTAAGCATGAAGGCAGTGGTGTCACAAGTTCGGGCAATCATAGCGTTCACAGTGCTGGCGGTACCAGCAACACCGCCAGCAATACACGAATGATGAACTACAAATACTGTAGTGGGAGTGTGGGAACCGGCACTACAAGCGCTGGTCAAGCTCTACTAGTACAGCCTATTTCTAGTGCAACTTTGTCGACGAGCACAGCAGCAGTTTCACTCCCAGCCGCTACTACAGTTCTTAATCCAGCGAATGCTGTTGATGCCGCTGCTGCGTTGGTCGCAGCCGCTGGTGGATCACCAGTTATCGCTTCGGCCACCAACAGTTTGTACACGTTCTACCCTGCCGAAGGCAATTTGCAAGTATGGCAATCTGAGTGCGGCGACCTCACGTACAAATCATCGCGCAATCAGCACACGCACAAGGCGCCGGTTTGTTGGACACAATCGATACCAAGGCAAACAAGACGGTAAGCCCCAAGTCTTTTTTACATTTTGCGTATGTGGGGAGTAGTTTCGTAACAAGTGAAGTGGATCATTTTTGTAGAGATCATGTTGGGAGGCATGATAAGTTATTATCGCGAACGTGTGCAGAAGAGGGAAATATTTCGAACTGTTTTGTGGTTACCCTACCGGCAACCAAAACAACTTACATATTTTCGATACTATAAACACAATATTGTACATAAATAGTCAATAAAATTTCCGTTATAGATAGTAGAGGACAATTTCTGAATTGTTGTTTCTCGTAGTTTGTCAATTTCGGGCTTAGATAGAGTAGAATTCTAGTGTTTGACTGTTTTGTATTTATCCGTCTAAGTATAATTTATGGTGCAGTGCACTCAGGTATTTATAGTTTTAATTTTTGCTTTTCTTAAATAAATAAATAAAATATTCCAGCGCTAAAATGCGTTGACATAAGTAAAAAGAAGATTTACTTTAAGGGGCTACACCAGTGTGTCGCATGAAAAATTAGGCGATTTTCGTGAATTTTTTAAGAGAAAGTATGCGATCGAATATTTTGAACTTCTTTGACCGTAATAAGGTATTTTTCAGCTATATTTTAAGATTTTTTGTTTACAAAATGTTGAAAAATAACGGAGTTATGGGCTGTCTGCGGAGGTGCCAAAAAAAAAGTACCTCAACTGCTGGCGTGATTCACGAAAAATATCGTTTTTTAATGCCAAATTGATAATTTTCAACCGATCAAAAWGATCGTAGGTCATTGCAWAGTAAATATATTGAAAAATACTCAATTTTAATTTGAAGTCGATCAGTGAATATCTCGTTGAGAAATTTTGAAAAATGTAATTTTCAAAAAACGCATTTTAAGTTTCACTTACGTATATATGTATGTATGCACCTCCGAGCGGTCGCTCTTTAGAACGCTGCCATCCAAAAACTATTCAAGATACGACCTTCCCGATTTCACAAGATATTTACGGAAATATAATCTATCGAAAAAGCAAATAAAAAAAATTTATTTGAAAGTGTCACACTGGTATAGCCCCGATAAAAGTTTAAATCCAAAAATTTTATTTGATTTGTTATTTTGGTTTGTATTCACTTGCATTAACAATGCTTTTGGAGATTAGCTTTGTATGTATCCTCTTTTGTTGAATTCCATTCGTAGATATCGAAGTTATTGACTGGATGTGAGTAATTTATGTATAGATGTTTTTTTTTAATTCCACATTATTGGTTCGTTCGCAAAGTAATTTCGTTCATTTCCAAGAGTTATAGAGTTATTATTTGACGAATTGCATCGCCCAACGATTTTATTTTATCCACATCGGATTTAAGAGGACAGGCACCCCAAGCTCCAAATTGCCGAAACGAAATTTTTATAACCATTTTTTGGATTGGGGCCCGGTTAACATATCTTCTCCGTACACATCAATTAATTTTCGCTTTGCTTGAAGTGCATTTTTTCCACTTTTGATAATAAAACAGTAAAAAAGCTGTTAAGTGTGAAGTCCGTAGAGAGAGAGAGAGCGCAATAAAATCTGTTTTTGTCATCAGGCGGAACCTATTGAACAATCCAATATTTTAAATCATTATGGAAGGATGTAAATCATACCATATAGTATACTTATTTTTCTTGTATTTCATATCCATCTGTTTGTACAGCAATATAATAATTGAGTGCACATGTATGATTAAAATTGCGAGTAGATTTTCCAAATCACATCTACTCAGGCACTTTTTTAGACATGAATATATGAATATATGAAATAAATTTACATTTTTAACTTATTAGCTGGGCGCATATTTGAAGATTTGGTAGAATCAGGTTTCGATTAAAATAAAACCACATAAATTTTGCTTACCAAGTGGAATATGGAATAAAATAATAACTTAAATTTGTTTAAGTAATCAAGATTTATGGAACTTATAGCAAGCAAATCAACAAGTAGTTAAATACATAGAAGTATTACTATTATTAGCTACTAAACTATTTCAATAGATCTCTTAACAGCTGACGAAGGAGTATTTGATTTTCATTTCACTACTGCAAAGAAATTTTCATTGGTTCTGTAACTTTTTAGTTTAGTAGTTTCTAGCAATCTAATTTAGTTAATTAAACTTAAAAATATATTGTAAAGTGAGTGACGAAAGCGTGTAACGTTGGCACGACTCCGTTATTGCACCATAAAATACTAAAAATATAATATGTACACGTTTATTATAATTGTAACTGTTCCTTAACATTCGCCTGCATCGTGAAATTATTATAAAGGCCCTTCGGTTACTCATCATCTGCATTTCTTGAAACTAAACTGTGTCTCACATTCACCAAAATACTGCTGAACTTTGCTAACTCGAATCACCATAATCCATAAAATTACTTCGAAATACAGAAACTTTGAGTTATGGAAGGAAATTTGTATGAAATTTGACTTCTATCGCAAATTCAAGAGTTCGAGTTATGTAGAACTTCGCATAATAGAAATATTATAGAATTTTTAAAATATTTATGTTCCAAAATTAATGGATAGTTAGTACTTTAAAGCACCGAAATGTTCAAACAAAATTGTAATACTGTAATTCAGCTCTATAGAAATTAAATAATTTTTATTGTGAACTCATACCACTATATACACAAAAGACTTTACAAACGAACTCGTTTATTAGCATTTCAGTTAATAAAAAAAAAAAGTAAGCGTATGATAACAGGTCTCAAGAAAGCTAGAACAACCAAATTTGTCTGGCGCAAATATTTTAAGAACACCTATCGAAAACGTGAAAATGGATGTAATCGAAAAATGTATTGCTTTTGGTGTATTTATTTATTGCGTTTTTATCTTCCGATGGTATGTGAGAGCTCTATGTGAGCCGGTGTGGAAATTGGATAATGGGCGTAAYTGCCCACTTTTTGGTGAAATCGCATATTTCGGCACCCGACAGACCGATTTCGATGAATTAAGTACTTTTTATTCTTTTTATATTCCATGTAACGGGGCGAAAATGGTTCGAAATCGTGCTACAACCATTCCAACTTCCCAAATAGCACAATTTTAAATACCATTTGATTCTTTCACTTTCCAGTACATAAATCAAGAAGTAATTAATATAGCGGAATAAAATTTTGCACTATGTATACAATTGAAATTCAGAGAAAATCCTTTCTTGACAATAGTAACTCTTTGGTATGTGATATGATAATACAGAGTAAATAGATAAAATCGGGTCGATAGTACCCCAACTCCCATATACTACTTACATATAATGAATCTCGTTTTTCTAACCAACATTATGCCGAATATATTGCTCAGTATATGAGTTATAAATAGTTTTTTGGATACCGATCATCTGGTTGATCTTTACACTTTAAGTATTTTCCTGGCTTTTATTCCTGCAAGTTGCGTGAGTATAAATTGTTCGGTTGCATCAGAACTTAGCTCTTTCTTACTTGTTTGTATTTTTTCTAATAATTCACATTTCATTGCACATCTCTAAATGTGACTGGTAGCATAAAAGGTTTATATTAAATATTCGTAAGTTGAACAAAAACTTGTTTTTCTAGATTTAAATTAAATCTATGCTTAGTTCATCAACGTTTTTAACTGCTGCCATTTGTCATGCAAATATATTTCTATATTGGCCCAAGTCATTTCCATTTAGTTGCCAAAACAAATTTTACTTTCCTAATGTACTAATTGAAAGAATCCAGTTATGCAAATTTAGATGACCAAAGCTATAATGTACAATTATAATGAACCCGAAATAGATATTCTCAACATGTTTACACGTTTCCATTTGTCATTTTGAGCTGACGTGTGTACAACTTCTGACAATCAAGCTCTACATTTCTTGCTCATCTGCTGCGAGATTAAAGCTGCTATCACCACCCAAGTTAGGAATGTAATGCGGGTTGTCGTGAGCACCACAAATAGGCAGCTACACGCGAATGTGCATAATGACACACACCAAATGATGCTCCTTGTATACATATATATATATATATGTACATATATGTACATATATGTGTGGGGTTGTTTTGAAATTTGTATGGCTAAAACTTTCGTATTTTTCACGACTTTCCAGCAGGTGTTAATAAGTATGATAAAGACGAAATAGATCACATTTTATTTGCTTAAGGTTGTTTTTGAAAAGACTCAAGACAGCAATTATGTGCTGAACACATTGAGCGTGACGCGACATGGCAGCACGACAGTGAACTGAAAAYGACGTTATGAATCCTACTACATGAACATTTGTAAGAAGGCAGCGACATAAAAATGGCCGGCATGTACACAAARCAGCACAGCTGCCCATTTTGTATGTACACAATTCGTTGTGGCTGTACTAATACCTTTCACTTCAATGAAATCTTAATATTTTGTTCAAAGTGAAATTTCTATGCAAAAAATAAGTAAATAGGTAAATTTATTTGTTTTAAATTATCTATTGTTATTACAAAACACAGCTACTTTATTCTTTTATKTGTAAAATAACGTCAGGTATGTTAAAGCTATGAATAATTTTACATTTTACATATTAGTGACATCACCACTCTACCTCATCTCTCTACTGTTAACTCTACTGTCGTTGGCAAATATAAAAATATATTGAAGTTAGCGAGAGCGACAACTGTCGACCTGCAGTCGTGTACTCGTGCAACTATCAAAATAACTGTGTCCATAAGAACGTGTGTATTTTAATACTTGACAGTCGCTTGCAGTCTGTCGCGCTAAATGTGTTCAGCACACTAGGTATCAATCGTAAGAAATTTCATCACTCAATGGAATAACAATAGTGCCAACACAAATTTCTTTTCGTTACACGCAGTTCACACACATATGTATATTTTATATGTATACTTGTAGTTACTATATGTATTTTAGTAATTTATGGTTTAGCGAAAGAAATTGTGCACATTGGGACGAATTATCACCAGTCAATATCAGCCACTGTCTAATTGGCATAAATTTACACAGTTTTTAGCTAACAGCTCCAACGAATGTGG